GGGAACATGAGGGCAGATCCGATGACATAGTAGCACATGAAATCGAAACTAAACAAATAATATAATCATTTAGTACGCTTTAAAATCTTACGGTAAGATTCGCATTTTGTTGTAAGTTGAGGAAGTGGTGTTGTGCAACGTGATGACATTCTAAAACTCCAATAATTATAAGGTTTCCAAGAACTCCAATGAATATTAAATAACGTAATATTCCTTGATACATTTAATTGTATATTTTCATCAGCATCGAATAAGTTCATTCGGATAAGGATGAAGAAGCATGAACTGACTCATAGTCGTCTACCTCTCTCTGATCACAACGTAAATAGTAAATACTAAACAAAAAAAGCATTCCCATATAATTAGGCGTCAGGCGTGTTATTATTAACTTTGAGTATCTGAATTTTACAACTAACTAGACAGAACAACAAAAATATTGCGTTAATCCGTAATGAAATTATCTTTGTTTTGGAAATATTTGTATTTGATGAAACTAATATTTTTTCTTAGCTAATGTTTTAACTATTTTTATAAATGTTGATATATATTGATAGATGTATACACATATTCAAAATTATAAAGGAATTACATAAGAAAATACTTAAAACTACACTACCATCAAATACTAAGATTAACTATTTCATAGCTCTCCATGACTCCATCCACTAAACTGGTCTTATTGGGAATTATTATTAACTGCTTCATTATTATTAAGGAGAAAGATATATCTCAAAATAATAAATAATCTACATTAGCTCATTATTAACTTGGTCAACGTCTCAAACTGTGGCTTGTATATACTTAACTAATTCAAGTAGATGTGAAATATACTTAAATAAATGGATAATCAGAGACTGAAGACAGACAGATCTAGCCAGGCCAAACAGTAATATATACCCAATATTCTGTTTTCAATAACCAAACCAGAATAATAAAGTCCACACGAAATATTTAATAATACCATGGTATCTCTGAACTTTTCAATCTTATACATCATATGATGTTCACAAGTTGCTAACTTAGAATATTTTTTGAAACTATTGACTCGTCTTCCTCTTCTAATACCTTCTCAAATTCTCAATTCAAGCATAGTGGTGTAAAGAATCATATAACAATCGGTACAAACGCAACAACCCCGTTTAGTCGTTGTTTATATCAGGAGTATTTGTTATATACTCGTGTGGTAATTAATCATCACTTGTTGTTTCACAAATGCAACGAAAAAATTACTCGGTGATACATGCTCGTATCATATATGTAGCTTTCAGTATTTTTAGTATTAGCATAATGGTATCGTTTTAGTCGAATATTATAAGAACTTGCATCAATCTCTATGTTTTGGTTCGTAAGAATATTAAACTGAAAAATCCTTTATCAAAAAACAAAAGAATATTAGACTGAAAAGGTATACTTTAATCTTCTTCCATCTCCATGCACTGGTCTCGATACATGCCAGTGGTGCAGACGTACACGTGGCAACTGACAAGCCGTCTATTATATCCGACGTGGAGGGAATACGTCAAGTGGTTCCAGCTGGCATCCACTTGGATTAAAAATGAAATGGTTTTTTGTTTTTTTGAAACACAGCAAAATAAAATGGATATAATAATTTCTTTTATATTTTAACAAAGGGTTTGAAATGGATATAACTTGCAACGTAATTCAACAAACTAAGTTCCAAAAACAAAAAATAAAACGAGTTCTAAGAAATGATCTTAATAACATGTGATTGTGACAAAGACACATAGTGGTTGGCTTATCTAATTCCGCAATAACCTTTTTTTTTTCATGTCCCATTTTGCAATCTTTATTCATATGTTAAATTCTATAACTCACTTGTAGTCTGTAGATAATAAAAATATTGACTAAACTTAGATCATTTTATATTATTAGCAATCATTTTTGCTAGGGCATATTCGAGTATCCAAAAGAATTATTTTTCATTATAAAAGTATAAATAAATACTTCGAATAATAATTGTTTAGGTATAGGCTTATTAGGAGAAGTGTTTTCACAGGCTGTCGTGTGTGTGAACTTTATTAATTTTTGTTGTTCTTCGAAATTCGAATGATGCAAAGAAACAGCTGGCCGTATCACAACAAGACACTGTCATCGTTGTTGGTGTACGCAAAGGAATATATCTATCATTTTTGCGTTTTATTGGTCTTTACGATTTGTGTAATTTGTTTCAAAAACAAAATTAATAAATTGGTCTCTTTCAGAAATATCCCTTCACAATGAATAGGAAAGTGTTTCTGGTTTTTTTTTTTGTGCTAGTATATCTTACAAATAAAAATAACCAAAACAACTCATTTAATAAGATTTTAAATCATTTCATTGAAAATTTTATCATAACTTCTGAGTAAAAATTAAAATCTTCATTTTTGTTGATTATTATTCATTTTCTTCTGCAAATTTGGAAAAAATGATATTTTGAAGTATTTCATACAGATTAATACACAATTAATCAAATAAAGATAATTTTAAATGAAAATTATTAATCATTCAAAATGATTAAAAAATTAATAGATAAATTCACATTGAAAATATAGAATGATATTTTCTGAAATAAAAATAAGCATAAATATATTATTGGCAGAAGCTAAGGTTATAAAATTTGATATTTCATTGTTAACAAATAATACTGAGGCATTTGCTCAAAAATCCTTGTACAACACCAAAAATATAATATTATTTTATACATTTTCTTTTGTTTTTCCAACTTTTATATTTATCCAGAACAGCTCAGTATTCATGTGAACAAGACTTTATGGACCCATCAAAAACTTTGATTTTGGTAAAAACCATCAAAAACTTCCTAATGACATTAATTATATGTAAAACGCATTTAAATAGTCACTTTTTAAGTTACATCTTGTAAAAACACATGTAATTCACTTAAGTTAAGAAAGTAGTTTAAAGTCAAAATAAGGGATTAACTTAAATCAAGTACCATCAGTTTAACAAATTAAAAAAAAAAACAAAAAAAACTTCCATGTGGTCTCTTCTTCCTTCCTTTAAGAACGCGTTACAGACATTGCTCAGACTTCGCGCCGCCCACCTCTCTCTTTCTCTCTCACACGTTTTTTTTTTCTAATTTTCTTCATCGCCGGAGACTTTTGACCTCTCATTCTCTCTTTAAACCTCTCTTTTCATCTAAAAAAACCACATCACAAAGATCTCATCACCTCTCTTCATTTCATCTTGATCATGTCGTTACCCAAGAACAACAGTAACAGCACCAAGAAGAAAGTTTCTTACATCTCAGTCCCTTCTCAGATCATAAACTCTCTATCTTCTTCCTCTCTCCAATCACTTCTTGTCTCCCCCAAGAAATCCTCAAGATGCACCAACAGATTCAGCTACAGAAACCCAAGAATCTGGTTCTTGACTCTCTTCCTCGTCTCCCTCTTCGGCATGTTAAAGCTCGGATTCAACGTTGACCCAATCTCACTCCCTTTCTCACGTTACCCTTGCTCCACGACTCAACAACAACTACTAAGCTTCGACGGAGAAGAAGGAAAAGAAGAAGAACACCACGCCGTTTCTCATCTGGGTCTCATCCCAAAAAACGACACGCAGTTGAATTCGAGTTTGCCTAAGGAAGGTGACTTCTGGAAGCAACCTGATGGGTTAGGGTTTAAGCCGTGTCTTGGATTCAGCAGACAGTATAGAAAAGACAGCAACTCGATTCTCAAGAACAGGTGGAAGTATCTTCTCGTTGTTGTCTCTGGTGGGATGAATCAGCAGAGGAACCAGATTGTTGATGCTGTTATCATCGCTAGGATCCTTGGTGCTTCTCTCGTTGTCCCTGTTTTGCAAGTCAACGTCATTTGGGGAGACGAAAGGTAATAATAACATAAACTCTTTTAAGATTTATATCAAATTTATATAAAGTATGTGACATTTTTGCTGATTATAATGTTTGAATGTAGTGAGTTTGCGGATATATTCGATTTGGAACATTTCAAGAATGTTTTAGCGGATGATGTTCATATAGTTTCGTCTTTACCATCAACACATGTAATGACGAGACCTGTGGAAGAGAAAAGAACTCCACTTCACGCTTCTCCTCAATGGATTCGTGCTCATTACCTCAAGCGAGTAAGATTGGTTTTACAAAAACTCTGTTTCCTCTGTTTTTATTAAGCTAACTCTGTTTCTTTGCTCTGTTTCCTCTGTTTTTATTACACTAACTCTGTTTCTTTGCTCTGTTTTAGTAAGCTAACTCTGTTTCCTCTGTTTCTGTAGATTAACAGAGAAAGAGTTTTACTTCTCCGTGGACTAGATTCAAGGCTCTCCAACGACCTTCCCTCTGATCTTCAAAAACTCAGATGCAAGGTAGCTTTCCAAGCGCTGAGATTCTCACCGAGGATTCTTGAACTCGGTAACAAACTTGCTTCAAGAATGCTAAGCGAAGGACAGTATCTCTCACTCCATCTAAGAATGGAGAAAGACGTTTGGGTTAGAACCGGTTGTCTCCCCGGTTTAACTCCCGAGTACGACGAGATAGTCAACAGCGAGAGAGAACGTCACCCGGAGCTTCTCACCGGTCGATCAAACATGACTTACAACCAAAGAAAACTCGCTGGCCTTTGTCCTTTAACAGCTCTAGAAGTCACAAGGCTGCTTAAAGCTTTAGAAGCACCAAAGGATGCGAGAATCTACTGGGCAGGAGGAGAGCCTCTAGGTGGGAAAGAGGCTTTAGAGCCGTTAACTAAAGAGTTCCCTCATCTCTACAACAAACATGACCTTGCATTACCTGGTGAGCTAGAACCATTCGCCAAGAAAGCTTCGGTGATGGCTGCGATAGACTACATTGTCTGCGAGAAGAGCGATGTTTTTATACCGTCACACGGTGGGAACATGGGACATGCGTTACAAGGACAAAGAGCTTACGCTGGTCACAAGANTTAACTAAAGAGTTCCCTCATCTCTACAACAAACATGACCTTGCATTACCTGGTGAGCTAGAACCATTCGCCAAGAAAGCTTCGGTGATGGCTGCGATAGACTACATTGTCTGCGAGAAGAGCGATGTTTTTATACCGTCACACGGTGGGAACATGGGACATGCGTTACAAGGACAAAGAGCTTACGCTGGTCACAAGAAATATATTACTCCTAATAAGAGACAGATGCTTCCTTACTTCATGAATGCCTCGTTGCCTGAATCGGATTTTAATAGGATTGTGAAGGAGCTTCATAGAGAGTCTTTAGGACAGCCGGAGTTGAGAACGAGTAAAGGTGGTAAGGATGTTACTAAACATCCTGTTCCGGAGTGTATGTGTTCAGATAGACAGCAACAACAACAACAACAACAACAATAAGTCTCGAAGAGTGGTTCGTGCAGTTATTCTTTTTTTTTTTTGCCTTGATTTGGAGTATATATTATGGCGTTTGTATTCTTTGAAGTGAGGTTATTTACGTCGGAGTTAGAATAGGAATGAGATATGATTCTTTGATTTGTTTTACGTGAAGCTGTAATTATATATTACAGAGTTTGTATACGGTTATACTTGTACCATACATAAATAAAGTAACATTTGACAACACTATGGCTTTGACTGACCTAAAGTAGGGTGTCTTTTTTTGGCTAAAATGATGAGGAAATAATATTCCTTAAACATGACATGAGGATGAACGTTTTTCCCTGAGGTAACTTATTTAAACATGACATCGAGCTGGTTTTGCCTCGAATCAACACTTCTCACAATGGCAATTGCTGCCACAGCGTTTTCATTCTACCGACATGGAACCATGGAAAAAGCAAAGAAGATGTTCCATGCCAGTCTTCTTTTCCTTCCTGTTTTCATGTCTGGTCTGCTTATACACCGTGTCTATGATGATAACCAGCAACCAGTCCTAGAAGTAGCCGGTTTATCAAACTCTGCTTCAGGTGAAGTTGTAAAAACTCAAAGGAGAAAGAAACGTGCTGCTCAGGCTCCTGTGGCTTATGCTTCTGCTGCACCGTTTCCTTTCCTCAGCTAATTTCTTCTATTCTCCATAATAAAAATCAATTCTCTTGAAGAGTAATAGATTATTCTGAAACTGTTTTTGACTTAAATCTTCGGTAATAAAGAAGTGGAGGAGAACACATATTACAAATTTTATGTATTTATGGATCCACACAATATATACTCCCTTCTTTTCATTTTGTATGATGTTTTAGTTTATTACACAAATTTTAACATTATTTTTATAAATATAATATTAAAATCCTTTAACCAATTATGAAAAATACTGTAAAATTTTATTGGTTGAACAGTTTATGGTGAAGTTAAAATTAACTTTAAAACTTCAAAACATACTTTAAATTTTCAAAACATCTTATATTTTGATACAACAAAAATCTTCTAAAACATCATATAAATAAAAATACACGAGGAATATTTTATTTTGTTTAAAGTTTTTGTTGCATATGAACAAGTAGTCAAATTACTGCAATGATAAAAATTATTAGTATTTGAAAATTTGCTTTACTTTTAGTTACCAACTATCAAATGAAGTGAACCGAATTCATTTGATACCCGGACCGGCTTTTGGTTTTAGCAATAAAAAAAATCTGATGACCGGTGATTTAGAGAGTTAAGACACTAAACCGGGTTGGTTAAATGTTTCGACTTGGCTACAATGAGAGAGGGATTCAGGAAAGCTGGGTGGTTGGGGAGGCTGAGAATCGATGGCGACGAGGCTGAAATCGATGGCGACTTTACCAAAACTGATACAAAGCATGAGGAAAGAAGCTCCTAAGCATTCGAATCCAGTTTTGCCATCTCTGAGACGAGCTTTCTCCCTCTATGACCAGATCAATCTCATTGACAATGTCCCCGAAGACCAGCTCCGATTCCAAGAGTAANTGGTTGGGGAGGCTGAGAATCGATGGCGACGAGGCTGAAATCGATGGCGACTTTACCAAAACTGATACAAAGCATGAGGAAAGAAGCTCCTAAGCATTCGAATCCAGTTTTGCCATCTCTGAGACGAGCTTTCTCCCTCTATGACCAGATCAATCTCATTGACAATGTCCCCGAAGACCAGCTCCGATTCCAAGAGTAATAATTCAATTCGAAAACATATCTGGTTTCTATAGGGTTTTGATTTTTTTTGATTCATTGATCTTGTGTGTGTGCAGGTTTAATGAGACGAGTTTTACGGTGAATGGAGTGAAATACGAAGGGAGCTTGCTCTGTGTTGGCAACTTGCTTATGTCGTGGACCCCTCGTCAATTCTCCGACATCACTCCTGATAGGTAGGTCTCGTCTTCTCTAATTAGGCAAAAAGGTTGAGACTTTAAGCTGTTATGTAGATAGATAGATACTTAAGTCATTGTTTCTCTTGTCTTAGATTCTAACCAATGTTATGTGCTTTTTGATGTTCATTGTCATCGAATGGTTTCAAAAGCTCGATTTTTGATGTGTTTTATCTAACATTTTGGGTATATATATTTTTGAGTTAAAGTTTGAGACTTTAAGCTTATGCAGATACTTGGTTCATTGTTCCTCACTCTTGGTTTCTAACCAATGTTATATGCCACAAGCTGATGTCTATTTTTTGTATGACTGTTTTGAGTGTAAGTTATGTTATGCCAAAAGCTGATGTTCATTGTCGTGAAAAGATTTTTTTTTATGTGTTTGATCAAATATTCGGTACGTGTTTGTCTGTGATTGGGTATTCTATGTTGCTGCTATTGCTCGTTGTCTGTATAGTTTATGAATAAAATGCTTTGGATAAATCAGTTGCTAAAACGTCTCTACGTTTCTCTTTCCATGGATGCAGCTTGTCTATCTTCCAGACAATTCGACCCATTCCAGGTATTAATAATAATACATCATATTTGTTTCGTCGTCACTTGAACAACTAGATTTGTGAAAACTTTACAGCACATATGAAAAGAGAAAAAAGTAGCATTACCGTTGGTTGATCAGCTAGATTTGCATATTAACTAGCACCAACGTCAAGTCATGCTATATATTATGTTAAAACTGTTTATTGTCCATGGCAGAGCTCTTAATTGTTGGTTGTGGGAGAAACATTCACCCGGTAACTCCCGAGGTCCGTCAGTTTGTCAAGTCTATTGGCATGAAGCTAGAAACCGTTGATTCTGTATGTTGTCTTTTTAACCCATCCATTACATTCTTTTGTAGTCTTATAACCCCATGTTGTCTTACATCTTTCTCTTAGTCCCACCCAAGCTTCATTCTTATATATGGATTTTACTTGATTCAGAGAAACGCTGCATCAACTTACAACATTCTGAATGAAGAAGGAAGGGTCGTTGCTGCTGCGTTGCTTCCTTTTGGTGTTACATCTTAAGGACTAGAAGAAAAGGCTACCAACTCGAGCTCGGTCTGTATAACATGTAGATGAATGTTGGGACTTTTATCTCTTGTGAAAATAAACCGAAATCCATCGGATTTTTTTCTTGCTTCACGAGCTTAATAACAGACGTTGTAACAAACATGAACCTTGTTATTGCAGTTCTCGCCTTTCAATATATCAGAGTTTTCTTGCTTGAAGGCTCTTGTGGCAATCAGTCTTTACCACAACGAAAGAACCTACTTAAAATATAAATGATGTTACTATGAGATTCCAACAATACTTATCCTTGAAAGAACATTTTCGAAATATTTCAAATTATTATTGTATTATTATTATTATGAAGCCAATTAAGTTACATATTCCACTTTAAAAGTTATACTAATGACCAACCTATGACTTTTGTTACATATGGTACATACACAAGTATAGATAATAAGATCAAGCAACGGCGGCCAAAACACCAACAAATGGAGCAACGGTGGCGAGGCCAGGCTCAGAGTGCTGATAATCAGTCCTATCATCTCCATAAGCATCGTTCTCGTCAGGTCCTCCCACGATTGCTCCGTTTAGTACGTTAGGGTTTGGTGCAGGATTGTTATACCATTCGCTGAACCCTCCTTTGCAATCTACTGGTGTTTTGTTCTTTTTGATCGACACTATAGAGGCTCCTCTATGGTGTGGTTTCTTTGGATAATTGCTCCCGTATCCAACCATGTAACTCATGCTCTTAGGGTTTGACCCAAGTATATAGTTTGCCTATATAAACCAATATACAAGTTTGTTAGGCAAAGTCAAAACATTGGTACTATACTATACGTTTTTAGCTATATATACCTGGTCACGAGCTACGTTAAGAAGATCAGAGGCTTGAAGGTTTCCACCGGGACATTTGATGGATGCATCGGCGGATTTAAGATATTTAGAATAAACAGAGAGGACAAAGGAAGCAGAGGTGGTGTACTGGAGGTTGGCCCACGGCAAGAACCAAAGCAAACCTCCTTGAGTTTTCTTAACGTTATTAGAGCCCTTTTGAGCACAGTTGCAAATAAACTGCTCAGCCATACTCTTGTACTCGTCCATCTTGTTGATCTTTACTTTCCCTTCAAGTGCAAGCTGCATTTGTAATTAAATTTTAAGTTTTTGTTTGTTTCTTGACATACACGTTAGTGAAAAAATTAAACCTACCTTGGCGACCAAGACTTGTGCACCCAAGAACTTATCATCCCATGAGAAAACAGTCCTGGGACCACCGGTATTAGATGCTTCATTCAAATAGTTGAGATAAGTATCTTTTTTAGTGGCACGGTAGAGCCAAGCCGCGGCCCAAAGTAACTCATCTTGGTAACCGCTGCTCGAGTAGAAGGCACCAGCGTTAGAGATGGAGTTTTGGTAGTCGCCAGGGTGAGCCACGGCGAAATCAAATAGTTGTTTCGCGTGAACGATGAGTTTTTCGGCGTAGTCTTTGTTATATGGAGCAAAGGCTATAGATGCTGCAGCCATAGCTGCAGCTGTCTCGCCTGCAAGGTCAGCGCCTGGATGCTGAGCATCAATGCGGTAAGAAGGACGCGTAGTTGTCATGTCCTCTGGTCTCATCCAACATGCATGGTCCGAGTTGCCGTCCCCCACTTGTCCGTAAAGAACATTGGGCTCTGGATGGGCTTTTATGAGGTAGTCAGTGGCCCATTTGATAGCCGTTAGGAGGTTTTTGTGCTCTGTATTAGCCTTGAGCTGTGATGCCATCTCTATGCTGCTCCATGCTAGCATTGTCGTCGTGAACGCCAATGGCAATCCAAACTTCGTGTTGTCTCCAGCGTCATAGTATCCCCCCGTAAGGTCAACCTGTTTTTTTTTTTTTTTTTTACAAATAACACATATGAAATGTTTTACTAAATGAATATTCCCTCCATTCCCCAAAAAAAAACTAAACATTTTTTTGTAATACTTTTTATATTTTAAAATATTTCTTTCGAAATGCATGGAATATTATACCATGGCCGTCTCAAGTTAGAATAAATTGTATTCATAATAAATACGAACACTACATTAAAAAGATATATTTTAAAATAATGAAAATTATTTTTTAGAAATAGATTAAACCATGTATGACGATTGTGATGTATATACTAAATAAAACAATCATCGTGTTGATAAAGTAAAAGTAGATGGGTTTAAATTACATGGAAATCAGAACCGTCTCTAAGTGCAGAATCTCCTCTCCAGTCAACTCTTTGGTTTGACGGCAATTTTCCTGAGCGTTGAGCTTCGAAATACAAAATAGACTTTGTGAGAGCTTCTCCATACTTGCTAGAGATAGCCCCATGAGTCATGGACACTAACAATAACACAATGAAAAGACTACTTGTCCATAAGCATTGTGAAGACATGGTTTTCTATTTAATCTTATGATCAAGTGTACAACTTTTACTTGTGTTGAGACATCGTATATTCAACTATTTATAGGGAGTTACAAGATGACTCTATGGCTAATTAGTGATCACTGATTACAATTTTAATTAGCATAAATCTCAAAATATTAGATACCTTCCAATAGATGTAGATAAGGGTGAACTTTTGTATTAAAAGGTGACAAGGATCAAAAACACTATTAGGGTTAATTTTGAATATATGGTAAAAAAAATTATATATATTTGTTAAATTTCAGGTGGGTCAATTGATTTTATCTCAAAGATTATGTTGAGTGAAAAGTTCAAAAATTGAATCACTATAATAAGCATTCTGGATAATGAAATTTGATAATACAGATTATTTGATGTTAAAAGCATTAACTAGTTGATAAGAGTGAAATGAGAATCACTAACACCACAAATCACATTCTCAAGATTTTTGATATTTTTATATTATCTTAGTTATTTTAAATTAATGCTTTGTTTATGAATTTAGTAATTTATTTTACTTCTTATATAATTTTTTTCTATAAATAGAGATTAAATTTATTTAATTTGAACAATAAAAATAATTGTCACTAATAAAATAAGATCTTAACTTTTATTAATAAAATCTGATTAGATTTATTTAATTTGAACAATAAAAATAATTGTCACTAATAAAATAAGATCTTAACTTTTATTAATAAAATCTTTATAGTAGATAAAAATCAAATATGTGTTGAATCATTATCTGAAAGAAAAAGAATGATGATGTGACGTGTTAAACATTGAAAAATACAGGATGTTAAACCTTAAATCATTGTGAATAGTGAGAAATTCTGTAAAAAAATATTTTTTTTTTCGGAGGACATTAGGAAAACATGTGTAAGCAACCGAAGAAGATAACAATTTCAAGTATCACTAAACCTAAAACCAGGAAAAAGATGAAAATGACCTCTAAAACTATATATATATATATATATATATATAGAAAAATAAATATGGTTGCAAAGGCCATGTGTTTAGATGAAAACCTTGATTAAAAGCATATCAAGGACCAAAAGCTCATAATTTCTTAGTTAACAACCATTAATGATGTCTTGTCTATGTCTATGAAGAAGAGTCGCGCTCTGATTTTATTTTTTTGGTAGGTTTAAATATAATCAGTATGTACGAATTTCATAATTTGGCAACAATATAGTTGTCATTGAAATAGTAGTACATCACACTGGAATTCACACTTATGGAGTTCATGGGTTTCTTCCTAACATTATTAATATTAAGTAAGAGGTGGTGAATGTTAAATTTGAGTTTATTATTAATTTCTAATTCAAAACCAAATAAAGGACTGATTCTAGCATTTTATATATTAGTTATGTCTCAGTTTGATTTTTAATGTGATAGTTTATATTTTTACATTCTTTTTTGAGATGATGGTTGTTATAACTATGTCTCTGTAAGATCTTAGTCTAGGATTCAGTTCGATCAGTCTCCCAAACCATTTGGGTCAGATCAGTTGAAGATTGCTCGTTCGAGAATGGATTGATTTTCGTTCAGTTGAACGGTAAGTGGATTGATCTAAATCTCTTATATATTAGTTAAGTTTTTTTTTTTTGTATTTTCCAAAGTGGAATATTGATCTCTAACCATGAATGTGTAAACAACGCTAATTGAACTAAAATCAAAGTATTTTGCATACAGTATATCTAAAAAAACACAGTAGAGCTCAAACCAGTTCAACATTCGTTAGTAACTTATGTTTGATCACTATGAACTGTGTATAGAGATATAAAGTTAAAGTTTATTAACTTTAAATTAATTAAAAGTATTCCATAATATAAACTAAATATATATAAATTTTACGTATATATCATCATATATGAGTATATTTCTTATATTATCAAACAAATTGTTTCTTTGTACTTTAGTTAATTCTTCAAAAAAAGTAGTTTGCGAAATCAAAGTTTATACATGTTTTACACAAGAAAAAAAGAAAAATCAAACCTTGTCTTGTCATAAAAGACAAATTTCCTGGTAATAGTGACAACGTCGCTATCCTGCTATTTCGTGTGGAGACAACTTAAGCGATGACTAAAGGTCTGTTATAAATGGATAACTGAAGGAGAGGTTCACAATAAGCTAATCTCACAAGTCAAAACTACGAAGTTAGAGTAGTTGACAGAAATATTCCTAAAAGTAATTCATAAACTATATGCAAGATAAAAATAATTCTAAAAGTATGCAAATTTATATAATCCGTCAAGAACTATGGAGACTTCTAGTGTATATATATTACAAAAGTACAAGAATTTCTAAATGATTAATTAGAATAGTGTAAGTTTAGTCTTATATAGATGATTATTGTTCGCCAAACCTTATGTTTGAAAGGCTAAAACCACTTGTAGGAGACTTGGACCAACTTTTATCCATGATGGCTTTAGGTATAGTGGGTAAGAAAACTGCAAAGTGGTGGAGAAAAACATCGAGGAGTGTACTTATAATTTAATCTCATTTTATTATGGGAACTATTTAATACTGTCATTCTCTAACTTTTACGACCTTACTTGAACACAAGACATTCTCTAACTTTATTCGGTGGATGTGTTATCATTCGAATCAATGAATGAAGTTCCCATACATCAAAGTTGTTTGTTAATAAGAAAAAATAACAAACATTGCTTTGATATTTCCTACTGTATTACCTAATATATTTGTATTATTCCAAATTTTTGAATCTCTATTTAAATTATTTTTAGTTTTTTTTTCTTTTCCATATTCTATTAGTTTGAAAGGCTGATATCTATGATGTTTTATTCATTTGGCAGGTTCGACAGAATTTTTTAGTTTACTAGTTCGGCCAATTTTCGACATTTCAGTGTAACTACGCAATTACGTATGACTATATTTCCAAAATATATTGCCTACATATATATTGTTTCCGTTTTATATTAAGTGTCATTGTAGAATTTTTTTTTCGTTATAAAATAAATGTCGTTTGGTTTTCCATACCAAATTTATTAATTTTATTATGTAATTTTTTTTTATTGGTTAAAATGTAGTTAACTGTATAGTTAATTATGTTCTTATATAAGAAATATGTAAAATTAATTGTTTTTTTAATCTGCGTACACAATTCTAAAAATGACACTTATAATGAAAATAAAGACTAAGATTTTGATATATTGAAGTTTTTTTGTTTTGTCAACAAATTTCAGATTTTTTTTTTTGGGAACAAATTTAAGTTGAAGTCTTAATTAATTAAAGAACAAATGTAATGACGACTACAGAGCTAAAAAGCCTCTCTACACATCGGAAGCGAAGGTTCCTTTGGTGAATAACTCGATCACGCCGGGAGGAAAAATCAACGCAATCAGAGGATTCCCCGTCGGCAGCGGCGGGATTTGAGCTCTACACAGAGGACACGTGGACCGTTTCTCCAGCCACGGATCGATACACTCGGCGTGGAAACAGTGACTGCAAACGGTTAACCGTCTCATCTTCTCTCCCTCCGCTGCATCCTGGAGACAAATCGCACAGTACGGTGATGAATCATCCTCATCCTCCGCCGTTTTCTTCCCCCATCTCCGGCGGCGGCGAACGGTGAATGTCCGGTAGCGAAGCCATGGACGGCTTGCAAGGAAACAAGCGAGTCTTAAGAAGAGACGGAGACAGAAGACGACGACGGAGGCGATAATGACGGATTCGCCGATCAACTGAGAGAAACTTATTATAGACTCAGCAAACATTCTCAGAGAAGAGAAAGTGGTCTGAAGAGTTTTGGCACAACTAACAAGGTTGTGTCTGAAGGTGTGTATATATAAAGGTTTATCTTGATGAAATGGACGGTCTCGATTTAAAGTTGTCGAATTTTATCGTTATTTGAATTTTAACGGCGGCGATATAATATTTTTGTAGCTTCGGAGCACGTACTTAAAAATCGTCAATTTTGATCAAATGATTCGTGAATTTGACTATGGTTATTAAATATTTCAAAATGGTCACTGGTCATTAGAATTCTCCAGTCTACGTTTTATCATATAATGGAGAGAATTGAGCTTAGCTTTAGAATCAATTAGTTTATTAACTAACAAAAGCTCGTTTATAATATTAATAATATAAAAAAATCTGGTACAACAAACCCGCTCAACACATTTAACGTAGTCCATTTTCCTACCTCTTGTGCATAATTCAAACAAAGTAACAGAAACTAATGTCGTTGTCTGCACAAAGCTAAAACAACGTTTTTCATTTATTTAACGTTGGTCTGGGTGTACATGTACGATGTGTCACACAAGCTGGCCAAGACAATTCAATTTAGGGTCCAGCTAATAAATACTTGTTGTTTTTTGTCGGGTATTAGATTTAACAGGTAAATGCTGGCCCAACAAAAAAAAGTAACAAAAACTCAGAAAGATAAGATATTGGATATTTCTGAATTCTAACCATTAATTTAACACAAGTCTATAACATTCAACAAAAAATTAACACAAAACAAAACAAGCTTTAGTGAGTAAAAAGACCGACTACCTTGCACTAAAGATAGGCTCAGCATCAGGTCTAGACTGTGCTCTGCGTGTGTACTTAAGAAGCAAACCTTCCATAGAAAGTCTAGGAACATGAAGATCCCTGCAACAACAAACATTACAACACAATCAATTCATAAATCCAAAAAAAAAAACTCATAATCTGATCAAATCATTACCTTAAGTAAGGCTCCAAGTCTTTCCACTCCCATTTCGGTCTATGTTTAAACAGCACAGCGAACCTTTCCGCTGGAGTTGACGGCAAAGACCGTACACTAAACTTATAAACCCTTGTCTCAATCCCAATCCTCTCTGTTAAAACCTCACCTTCAAGCATCTCGAACTTCCCTTCCATCCCTTCCGGTATTTTCTTCTTCCACTCTTCCATAAAACTCTCTAACCTCATCTTCTCCTCTCTCAGTACCTGTCTAGCAAAGTGCAAACACACAAGCCTCGGCTCCAGCTTCCACTTATTAGTCTCCTTCACCTCAGAGCCAAACACGCGCAAACAGTGCCCCGCGAGTTCGCTAGGAAACTCATCAGCTACCAACGAACTCACAACATCCTCTTCATCAAGACCATCAAAACACCAACTGTTCAGCACAGAGTTGTTAAGAAGCATTCTGAGAATCATGTCTAGGTAACTCTCGTCTATAACCCTCCAGTACCCATCAATCTCAATAGCGGAAATACTCTCCAACCCCTTGCGTAACTCTTCATCGCTTGCTTGAATAGTATTAACCAAATCACTCCATGTGTACAAAGCTAGATTCTTTTCACCATCATCCATCATCATGGCATCTTCTACTTCACCAGCATTCAAAGGGCTTTCCATGAGAAGCTTCTTGAGTTTGTCGAGTTTAGGAGAAACCTCAACAAGCTCCATGTTACCAGGAGCAAGCTTGATGACAGACACATGTGATTCATCATCATCTTGGAGGAATCCAGGGGTGTTTGATGGAGGAATAAGGAACATTGAGTTAGAGTTACCAACAAACTTGATAGCGTAAGTTTTGGACTTAGTGCAGAGAACAGCATCTTCATCAGGAAGTCCTCTCAATGTTACCCTAATGATAAAAATAAAAACTAATTAAGTAACAATTAATCAATTTAATCAAAAATTCTATTTATCATTTAGATAATTAATCAAACAAGTGCCCAATCATTAACCTTTCATTGAAGATATCTGAGACGAGATTATCATCAGCTTCGAGAAGAAGAAGATCCTCGTGAGGTCCGAAGGATGGGTGATACGAAATCGGCACCGAAGATCCGATTCCCAGATTTATAACTGCTTGAGCTCCTCCACTGCTCCCACTTTCTTCCATTATTTGAAGATGGATTATTGTTTTCCTTCGCAGTGATGAGTATCGCACTATATGGAGATCCAAGCTCACGACTGTAATCAAATCGGAGAAAATAACTTCGTAAAATCAAATCCACCAGTTAGAAATTCAATGGAAGAGAGAGGCTAGAGTAGATGGTAATCGAACCTGAGGATCAAGGTTTAGGATGACAGATAGAACATTTTGGTCGCTAGGGTTCGTTCTCCCGCTCAAGCTCAAGCACCTTTCGCGCCTATGTTTGTTCAGCCATTTTTGGGCGCGTATTAGGTTTTGATTCTCTTTCCGCTTAATAGATCTTTAGGCCCATTACCTTAAAAGGCCCAAAATGCGTTAAAGACTTTTTTTTTTTTTCTTCTTCTAACTTCATTTTATTAATTCATTAATCGAACATGATCATAATGTAAAACATAGAAAGGAAAAACAAATTGACCATGTTGATTATCTTGCTTTGCAACTTGATTTCTTTCTCTTCCTACCCCTGTGAACTTTGTCTATTTAAACTTTTGTCTCCATCAATATACTTCATGTATCCAATTGTATCCATCAAAATTAAGCATCTTATTGTTGAGAATTTTGATTAGCTTGATGCAGTTGCTTTCAAAGTGTACTTTTGTATGGCCTCTGTTCCAACAATATTGCATTGCAACAATATTGCATTGCAATTATCAAAGCTTGCACTTCACTTTCGAAAGCATTATTTACTATGTCTCCTTCAGTTTGACCAGCCCCTTTATAAACTCCATTTGCATCTCTTAAAACCCATCCTGCTTTTCCCTTTGTATCGTGGTTTAAAAAAAAAGCCATCAACATTGCACTTAATCCATCCTTGTAAAGATTTTTTCCAAGTCTCCATAAAAATTATCCTGATGTTTGAACTCATCATTATACAAAACATCACACAGTTCTATCCTTTTTTTCTTTAATACAAATGGCAATCATAGAAGCTAGCCCTGCGACTTCGGTTTTCCGAAACCGAACCGAACTAAACCGTTGGGTTTTTGATTAACCGAAATTTTGAAACCATATATAAATTTAACCGAATTAAATATCAATTCGGTTTGATTATTGGGTTTTTCGGTTTTCAAATTTTATTTCAAAAAATAATCAATTTTTTGGTTTTTAGTTAATTTTGATATAATTTTGTTTAAAAAATTGGATATTTTCGATTAAATTCGGTTATTTCGGTTAAATTTGATTATTTTTGGTTTATTACATTCAATTTTTTTTTTATTATTTTAGTTATTTCCGGATATCTTCAAAAAAAAAATTGAACCAAACCAATAATTGAATCAATTTTCAAGACTCTACCGAACTCAAAATGGAAAATTTCGGTTCGGTTCAGACAAAATCCGCAGGGATTAGCTCTTGTTGCCTCGTCATCTCAAGGTTACCTAAAACCTATACTCACATTCATTGGTCAAATGAAATGCAAGCCCAATGATAAAGCACTGTGTGACAGAAGAGAGGAAATGCTAAGGCCCAAGGTGAAGAAGCGTAGACCACGTGGCTAACCCAAGAAGAAACAGACGAACAAGCGTGTGGGTAACGACGACGTATCGTATCACCTAACGATTGTCGGCTTCCACCATCCACGAGTAGAGGTGTCAATTGGGCGGGCCGACCATGGGCTAGCCCTGTCCAATTCATTTTGGGCGGGTTATGGACGCGCCCAATTCATATATGGTCCAACTGTACAAAAACCCAATTGGTCTATGGTCTAACTGGTCAAAGACCAAATGGACAATGGGTGTCCATGGGCCTCCAAAACACATAATTCCATAATTTTGATTTAAAACATAGTTTTTGACAAAAACTTTTTGTGAAAAAAGCAAGATTTTACGGTTTTTGATAGAAAAAAGTAATTTCACAATTTTGACAGAAAATAGAATTTTACGGTTTTGTCGGGAAACGTAATTTTTCATTTTTGGCGAGAAAAATAATTTTACTGTTTTTGCGAGAAAACGTAATTTTACTGTTTTTGCTGGAAAACGTAATTTTACTGTTTTTGCGGGAAAATGTAATTTTACAGTTTTGGCGGGAAAACATAATTTCCCGATTTTGGCGGGAAAACGTGATTTTCCGGTTTTGATGGGAAAACGTGATTTTCCGGTTTTGGCGGGAAAACGTGATTTTCCGGTTTTGGCGGGAAAACGTGATTTTCCGGTTTTGGCGGGAAAACGTGATTTTCCGGTTTTGGCGGAAAACGTGATTTTCCGGTTTTGGCGGGAAAAAGTGATTTTCCGGTTTTGGCGGGAAAAAATGATTTTCCGGTTTTGGCGGGAAAAAGTGATTTTCCGGTTTTGACGGGAAAACATTATTTTCCGGTTTTGGCGGGAAACATGATTTTACGATTTGGGCGGGAAAACGTGATTTTACAGTTTTGGCGGGAAACGTGATTTTACGATTTAGGCGGGAAATATGATTTTACGATTTGGGCGGGAAAACGTGATTCTACAGTTTTGGCGGGAAAACATAATTTCGGTTTTGGTGGGAAAAGTGTTTCTTTTTTGGCGGAAAACGTGATTTTCTGATTTTGATGGGAAAACGTAAATTAAATTAAATTTAATTAAGTACAAATATGTAAATAAATAAAAATAAATAATTTAAAGGTATTACAAAATTTAATTAAGTCCAAAATTTTAAATTATACACAAATTAATAAAATTAAAAAATAAACAATACACAAATGGTTTTGGTCATTTGGGTGTCCATGGTTTGTCCATTTGGACATGGACTTTAATGGTCTTGGGCACTTTTTGGACCACTGTCCAATATGGACCATCCATTACTGCCCAAAAACTGAAATGGTCTAAATGGTCAAGTCCAAATGGGCTCTGGGCGGCCCATTTGACAGCTCTATCCACGAGCCGCCCCAACCTTTTTTTTTTTTTGGTTTGCCATCACATGCTTGTCTTTCTCTTTCTTTATAAAATTGATATACACTGGAATGGAATCAATTAAATTATTATTTACAAAAATTTATTTTTTTCTGTTATTCTCAATCACCACTAAGAATTATTTCATGATTGGTCTAAAAAAGTTGAGAAAGTGGGGAGTATTTTTTCAAAATGTTTCCATGTTTATGTGGATTGCATTCATACTGTATCTTTGAATCCACGATCATTATAACTTTTATATGGAATAATATATCATAGATATTTCTAATATCAACGAACATAAAGACTTTGATAATTTCACAATTAGACAGACAATAATAACCATATATATACAATTTAAAAATGTGTGTTTTTCTCAAAAAAGAAAAAAGTGTTTTTACAAAGAAGACATGGAAACTTCATTCTTTTGTAGTTTTTCCATGCAACTTTCGATGCATTGTTCATAGCATATGTTGACATGCGACTTACTAAGTATGGTTTAATATGGATTTTAATGAGTCAAATTAAGAGGACGTTTAGTTAAGTTAACAAGGTAATCATTACATATGCCATTTGTGATGAGGTGATGTTTGTTTTGACAATGATAAGATAGCAAATGTCAACGACAATAAGAATCATGAAA